TCTCACACCCCAGAGCCCTTCACAGCGCCAGCAGCTGCAGCTTCTGTCCAGCAGAGCACCGGGAATGCCGTGCTGTTTGGTTGTCAGCCCTTAGACAGGAGCTCAGAGTCAGAAAAGCTGTTTGTTCCCACCCAAGTCCCCCAGACTACAACTCGGAGAAGTTCCCTCTGGAAGCCACAGGTCAAGGAAGTGGATCCACGTTTACAGATTTGTTTAGGCTAGAAAAGACCTTTCAGATCATCAACCATTCACCCAGCCCTGCCACTCCACCCCCAGGCACCGCAGCCACATCGAATCACCACCCCGATGGCAACTCCACCACCTCCCCAGGCAGCCCTTTCCATGAAGGAATTCTCCCTAATATCCAATCTAAACGGCCTCAGGTTGCACCAGGGGAGGTTCCCTCTTGTCCCATCATTTGTCACTTGGGAGAAGAGATCAACTTCCACACCCTCCTGGCTCACCAGCATCACTCCCTCCTGCCAGGAATTGTTGCGCCTGGAAGCAGGGGCTCTGCTGTGGCCCCTTCCTAGGCAGCACCTGCCCCAGCCAGGGGAAGGGGTATTCCCATGGAACAGGGAACCCCTGCCCACACCCCAGTGGTACCCCCCTCAGCCCAGGGGGGCTGGGATGCCCCCACGGCGCAGGCACTCAGCAGCATCAGCAACCACTGTCTCACATAACGGATCCAAGATTTACTGCAGAAACAAGGGAATTACTGCCTCGGAAAGAAACAGGACAGTGTTCCAGAGGTGAAGGATGGTTTATCGTTTTGCCACAGCCACCCAGGCCAAGGCAGCTGACTGGCAACACAATTCCACCTCTGCCCTGCCCGGCACGCTGGCTGCTTTGCCAGCGGAAAGCGGAGGCTCTCGGGGGCTCCCGCGAAAAAAACCGTTCCAGCCCCCGTTCCGCTGACAGCCCGGATCCCAGCAGTAGCTGTGGCCGCCGACCCAGTGGTGCAGTCATCCAGAGCCAGACCCCCCACCAGCCTGGGGACTGTCACAACAGCAGCACTCGGGACCCCTCGGCAAAAGCTGGGGGTACCAGTCACAAGGGGGGGGTCAGGGGCTGGCTTGGGGGGTTTAAGCCCTTTTCCAGTACCGGGTGATCCTCTCCAGGCCGGCTGGAGCTCCGCGGCACGGCTCCGACGCGCTAGGACAGGCATCCGACGCAGCTACCGAGCTCCCTACAGAACAGAGCGGGAGGGACACGTTAAACATTTACATGTTTATTATAATTACAATTTACATTACTCCAAAGAGCAGCCCCACTGCTATGTTCTAACTCGTAGCAAGAAGGCCCTACAAAAATAAATCCAAGCTTTGACAGTAACCTAGGTCAACGCAGAGCTACAAAACCTCTAGCTATGTACGGGGTTCGGTCGTCAAGGTGCTGCTTCCACCAAATTCCCTACCAACCAAAAAAAGGGACACATGCCTATAGCTGTTTAACCCACTTAGTCATGCAAACAGAGGTAACCCCCTCCCCCCCAGCCCCTCTCCCCACATACAGATTCTTAAAAACGAAAAGAAAACCCCAACTATTTACAGTATGGGGGGTCCAGAGGAAACGGGTTCAACATGCCCATCCGAGACGCATCGCTGCGTGGAATCCCATCCCCAGCTCGACGCCAACACCCCACCGTGTTCCACCACAGCCTGGTGTACAGCCACCTGCCCGCACCCGGTACCGCCGCGGAGCGAGGTACCCGCTGAGGCACCGAGCCAGAGCTTCCGCTCTCCGGCCCAGGCAGCCAAGTGCTGCCGCAAATCCCTTCATCCCGGGCGCAGGAGCGGGGACACTTCCCACCCCTGTCCCGGTAAGGAGCTCCGAGCTGGAGGAGCGTCCAGCACCCTGCAGCTCGAGGGGTGACAGCGCGGAGTAAACCTGTAGCACCGCCACAGCAGTACCAGCCGACAAACAGCTGTACAGTCACTTACACTACTACACGATCAACAATCCAGTATTCCCAAGTGACACTATACACAGCTCCTCAGCACCAGGAATCCCTTCTTCCGGATACCAAGTGCTACTTCACACCTGCTGCCAAGACCAGCGAGACCAGCAGCACCAAAGAAGCCATTTGGTTACTCAGAACGAACAAATTATAGCTGGTTGGTTCAAGTGAGCTTTGGTTCCATGTGAAAACAGCATGATTTGTCCTCTTCAGGGTTCAGAAAAGGAGTCTGAGCTTCGACTACAGCAGCCTTTGAGAGACCCAGAAAGAACCATGTACGTTAGTCTGCACTTAAAAAAACCACAAACAAAAAAGACACCCTGAAGAAGGTACCCCTGAACACATTCCCTCTTCCAAAGAATACTCCAGCTGACGGTTGCTGGTCCAAAGTAAGTCCAGGATACAAGCAGTAGTACATGAAGTTCTGTCACTTGAGCTGAGACAGTAAACGAGAAGAACCATTTTCCCACATTAGTGCAGCAGTTGGTTGTTTTCTTTCTATATACAGTTTCATCCTCTCGGGAGAGATGTCAGAACCTAGTCAAGAAAAAAAAGAGGTAGAATTAGATTTGATTTTCCCCCCAAGAACAAGAAAAGCAGCAAAGCTCACCCCCATGAATGGACTGAAACGCTTGGCTAGAAGGTCTCAGCCCAAACCAGCCGCTGTCGCTTTCCCAGACACACGGCTCAGCCAGGGACTCAACCAACACGTGAAAGAACACGCTAAAGCAATTCACACCGCTTCTACCACTCCAAGGATCCGTCAGGGACAGGAAGGGGCAACTCCTGACATACCCACGAGACTGGAGAGCAGAGGAGGTTGGGCAGACAGTGCAGGCAAGGAGTAAGGGACGAACCTGGCTTGGGCAGGAATTGTTCTGGCTCAGACACTTGCCTCTGAAGTTACACTCTGCCAGTACCGGCTCTGTGAGTGGTTTGGTTCCGCCTCGCTGCTCCGCTGCCCCTTCCGCCTCGAAACCCACCACGAAAGCTGCGGCCGCGAAGGAACCGTCCAGACACTCCGAACGTCTCCGTGTTGAGCTTCCTTTCTTCAGCCCACGTGGTGCGCCTGGAACTGAGCAAGGCTGCGTTCAGAGGTAACGCTACACACCCACCGGCTCCTCCAGCACCCCCTGCTCCTGACCCAAGCTGCACGAGAGCACGCCGCAGCCTACACACGCTCCCAGGCTCAATTCCTCCGCCGGGCATGGATTTGAAAGTGAGGGCTGTTGGCTTTCCCAAGCTGCTTTCATACTGGAAAATTAAAGGTGGGCCTAGAAAAGGGTCGAGCGTGGTCTCACTACCTTTTCAAACCCTGTTTTCTCAAGAAATACAAACTCTTAACTCCACTGAAGCCTCTCTAGAAACGCAGGAACATGCGCAGCGGAGCGCTGCCGCGGTGGCTCCACAGCGGCACGCTCCTCCCTTCGCAGAGCCTGCCCGCCCTGACAGCGGGCACCAGGAGAAAGCTTTGCGACAGCGAAGCGGAAACGTGACCGAGGGAATTTCACACTGACACTAACAGGATGTCTGCCTTCCCCAGGCAGCTGCCAACATCACTGCCAGCAGCAAAAGATGTTCCCAACAGCTGGTTTACTGCATTTCCACAGACAGACCTGACCTCCCTGCCCAGACTCCCGGCTCGGCTGGCTCCTGCCTACAAGTCGCACCATCTCCCGCATGGCACAACCCCGACACCTCCCCGCCATGAGTGAGATAAGGAATTCGTTTAAAATTAAGGGGTCCAGAGTCAGTACTGGGAATCAGAACTAGAAATGCCAGGATCCTAGTTAGGCAAGTGAATCAGTATCAGCTGAAATCCCTGCTTTTGTTGATCCCACTGCAGGAAGCTTGGTTAAGCTTTACCACCCTCTTCTTCCCACCCGCAGAGGGTGGGGAGGCACTGGGACAGGTTCCCAGAGAAGCTGTGGATGCCCCATCCCTGGAAGTGTCCAAGGCCAGGCTGGATGAGGCTTGGAGCAACCTGGTCTAGTGGAAGGTGTCCTTGCCCATGGCAGGGGGTGGGACTGGATGGTCTTTAAGGTCCCTCCCAGCCCAAACCAGTCTGTGATAATACCAGCCAGCACATGTATGGCAATGCTCCCTTCTAAAGCTGTTTCACTGACTTTCTTGCATTCTAAGATTTTTCAAGAATTAAACCATGTGACATAGACTATATCTAGAATTCTATGCCTGAAATGGAATTTAAAAAAAAAAAGCAAATCTTGTAGAACACTCACCTAGATTTCAGTTCTGAAGAAATGTTGTCAAAGAAGGACTTGGATTTATCATAATAGCAGTTGGGTCCCAGAAGGTCCTCCTCTGCACTGCCATCATTGTTCTGAGTTGCCACTCCAGGGTCCCCTTTGTCTTCCCCCGTCTCTGCTTTGTCATCTGAAGATAAAACGCATTACACTTCCTCAATGCATACTGAAGAGCCATCTGCTCCCCTGCTCCCTCAAAGAAGATTTGAGATGCTGCCACACGTAACCACGCAGTTTCTCAGGACCGGTTTGTCTGTGCAGTGTGTTTACTACTAGCTCAGAATTCATATTGAACCAAGTCACAAACCTTTAAAGTTCAGTTTCTTCTTGAATTCTTTATCAAGCTCCTCCCTGTTGAACTGTGCGTTTGCACTTTCAAAGTCAAAGTCACCTTCAAACTTTATTGTATTTTCTTTCACAGTAGTTGGTCTGGTTTGTCCTCTAGAACGGTTCCTGGTCCTCCTGTTTCCTGAAAGCAGGAGAGTTCAAACACTTGGTAACACACAGGGAGGTTAAATGACTTGCTCAAGACCAGAGGAAACCAGGGTTAGAACTCAGGAGTTTCTGGCTTCCAGTTCTGTGGTCAGGCCACACCTCTTCAAAAGTTACTCCTGAGCTTGGCTGTAGAAGACACTACAGCAATGCCTGAACTTTCTGAAAAGCATCCCTGGATGCCCCATCCCTGGGAGTGTCCAAGGCCAGGCTGGATGAGGCTTGGAGCAACCTGGGCTATGGAAGGTGTCCCTGCCCATGGCAGGGTGGTTGGAACTAGATGGTCTTCAAGGTCCCTTCCAACCCAAACCGTTCTATGGTTCTATGTCAGTCCTGCCATCACAGAGAGTACACTCAACCTTCCTTCTAGTGTGAGGAGAGGAAACCAGAACAAGTACTACACCAAGAAAAGCATCTTTTCTGCCTGCTATTCATCTGCAAGCATAGCACTGTAATTAGTCTCCACACCAGTCACGATGGTGAAGAGGAGCAGGTCCCTGGTTTCAGAAAATCCACCCAAGACTCATCTAGAATCATAGAATCATAGTGTCTAGCCACTGACAGAGTTTGTGCTTTGTACAGCTTCTGGTTTCCACTTGAGAACCTATCAACTCCTTTTTGGAAAAGCTGTAACCTCTTCTACAGTGCTGCCCTCAGGTAAATTCATTTGAAGACCTCACAGTCTGGAGTTTTGTTTCCTGCCTCTTCTCATTTTGCTTGGGCAGAAATATTTGTTTGAATTTAATTTCACTGTCTTTTGCCCTGTGCTTAAAACAGCAGCCTTCAGAGAAAAACTCCGCTCTACGGAAGCGAGGGCTCCGTAGTTCCTCTCAGTTATGAGCGCTCTGGAAATTCTTAAACTGGCTGCCCTTCCCAGTAAAACTACTCCAGGTTTCAGAGAAATCTAGTTGTTGCTGCCAACTCTCTCTGCATCAATTTTTATAACGTATCTTCAGGCTTCTAGAAAAGACCCTATAATCCTGTCCCTGGAGTGTTCTGAACTTCTGTGACTCCAGAATCTGTGAGGAAGGATCTCTGGATGCTCAAAGACCTATCAAGCTTCCCTCCCATAATCCTTCACTGAAATTAACAGTAACTGGGTTTATAAGCTAAAGCGACTGTTTAGTGCGAGGTTAACCTACCTGACCTTCTCCTTTGAGGTCGTCTGTTTTCATCATTCACCTGTCCTTGGGTCTGCACAGGTGCTGCCTGAACTGCATCTACTGAATAAAAGGGTAAAGTTCAGAAAGCAGCACCAGAACAAGACCAAAACAGCTTAGTTGTGCTGCGCACCTCCAAAGGGCGCTTCGGAACAGCACCTGGAAGATGAAGAGGTGGGCACGTACCACTTGTCTTACCGCTGCCCTGGGGAACCTGCCGTCCGTTGCGCGGGACCCCAGGAGTCACTTTGACCGGGGGCGGCTTTTGTGAATTCATGTTGTCAACCGGGCCAGTCTGGACAGCCTGCTCTACCATGGGGCTTTTGCGGACGGGGTGAACAGAAGGAAAGCCAGCACCTGGAAAAAAATCCCAGTGACCAAGCGCCTCTCAGCAAACGTGCCAACGCTGCTCAAGCCCTACCCCACCTCTATGGAGAAACCGTTTTGTCAAGCATTACTCAAAGCCTCGAGTGCCTACCGCTGCACGCGACGTTTAGGTGGCATACACACTAGCTACGGCGCTACTCCCGTACCAGCTCCGGCTCTCAAATCCAGAGCCTTAAGAATCAGGGAATCTACCATTTGCTTCTTAAGCCAAGTTAGACGCACACTAGGTAAGCAAGCCGAGTCAGTCCCTTCGACAGGTTATACCGCAATCCGATTTCTAGACGTATCCTTGGTTATGCAGGATTTTACTTCATATTACTTTAAGTCTGAAGCAAAAATCCACCACTCTGAAACTGCTCAGGAAAGCTTCCCCACTTTGTCAATAAAGTTTGGCAGCAAACGCTTAACCACCTCAACTACATCCCACTTTGTAAGCCGCTTTTAGAGGTCCTTCATTGCTTATTGTTAGCTTTCAGACAAAGAAAACCTGAAACCAGACCAGGATCTCAAAGTTACCCTTTTAAATTCCTTCTTGGTCAAGGCCAAAGTGTTACCAAGACTTCTGTTGCTCTTCCATCCAGGCTTATTTATTCACACTACAAAACACGTAAATACTTTTCATGGTTTGGTATACCTTACACCAGCGATATTAAAAAGTGACAGTCTTCAGTACTCAGAAGAAACACTGCATTCTAGATTTAATTAGAAGTTTGGGAGTACTAGAGGTTTATGCGCAAGAGCTGCTTGGAAGCCAACTTTAACCGAACGTACTTTAGGAGCAAGGAAAGTGAAAAGCTGAAGAGTACACACAAACCAAGCCACTGACAATTCTGGGTCACCCAAATCCACATGAGAGAGACCCAGTAGGTAACATCATGCAGGTTCCCAATTAACATACACCTGGAAAACTTGCAAGGAAGACAGATATCCTAAGGATTACTCAGTAGGACAAAGCTGCTGTGCAAGTTTAACACGAGAAAGTTTCAAAGCTTAGCCAGAATATTGAGAAAGTACGTACAGATAGATGGCCAAAACCAGGGGGTAAGTAAAAACAGTTTCATGCCAACACAAGCACACATGCTTAAATTAAGAACAGATTAAACTAATTACCATGTTTTAATGCAGGCTGCACCTGGTGTCTCTGCTCTGAGGACGGTCAGTCCAGTATCTCTACTCAACCTCCTTTAAAAGTTCTTACACACAGAAGCAAGCACCCAGAACGACATTATCTCAGCTTACCACGACTCCCACTGCTTACTGTTAGTCACGCTGTACTAACTGGGAGTCTTCACAAGGTGCTGTGCCCCATCAGGCATGAGATCTATCCTCCTATTTACTCAGTTACACCAATTCTCCTGAATTTTCTATGAAGTTATGACTCTAACAGCAAGGCCACCCACAATTTCGGCAGTGTGCTTGTCTTTCCTGGAAAGACTAATTAACTCCTCACCCAGCCTCTGTGAGGCATGTTCCTGGATAGGCTGCAGCACATCAACATCCCTACACCTCAGCCCTCTCCTAATACTTACACAAAAGGATCTGCTGTCCTGTGCTTTTCTCCTGTCTCTCTAATTGATACTTGTAGGACAGGAGGAATACTTCATGTAACAAAAGGCAAAAATAGCTGAGAACAAACTAGTTCTACTAGCATTACCCATGTAAGTACTATCATTCTAGGAGGGGTTAATCAAGGACAGTGTTTGCAAATGCCATGCAGTTCTTCCAAATATCTGGAGTCCTCAAACTGCTGTTACCCTTGGAAGGGAGCTGATGGGGCTCTGAAGACATGTCAGGCTCTGAAACAGGTTGTGGAGACGGAGAAGAACTAGGGCTGGAAGCAGCTGCTGATGCTGGAGGGCTTACCAATTTCTCTAAAGAGATAGAGGGAAGAAGAGAAAGCAAAGATATATGGATAAGATACAAGGTAGTGAAACATCTGAAGGACTTGGAAAGACGTAAGAATCTGTAGAACAGCATTAGAGCAGCTTATTTACAGTCCTCTGGGAATACAAGTCCCTTTTACATGTGATACTATGTACGGTATGTTGGGTTAGAAGTGAACTGGCCTCAACTGTTAGGTATTCACATTATTTTCAGAAAGAAGCTTCAGCTGCTTAGTTTCTTTCTTGCCTGTGTGTGTGTAAGTGAAACACAGGCCTCCTTGCAATAAGGTCACTGCACAGAGTTGTTAACTTATTCACTGCTTGTTGCAGCCTGACACTTGGCAAGGAATTTGGTGTTAGTGTTATCCGGTTTCACAGTAGCTGCCTACCAGGACTGTACCTTTATTCTAGCAAGTAAAGTTTTTACTTACCCAGACCTAAGGAAGCGGCATACTGATGGCTAAGTAAAGAGCTGGCAGCAAGCTGGTTGTAAGGTGGCATACCTCTAAACGGGCTGTAAGGCACATGTGGCTGAAAGGATGATGTAGAGGCAGAGCCCAGTGAAGACTGTAACAAGACAAAGTACATTTCCATTTACAGTGTCCAGAAGGCAACTTGCTTTGGCCATGATTCTCTACTTTGTGTACGGCATTACTAAACGCTTCAGCAAACACTGAGAAGGGTTAGTTTACCTCTTTATGGTTTTTCTGCATTCTCAGCTAGGTAAACTAGCTCTGGCTTTTGTTAACCAAAGTCTTTAATGCTGCTGCTACTTTAAAGATTACAGTGAAATTCAGAATGCTTCAAACAATCTGAAGACTTCTGGAGACAATGGCAGCCTTTTTTATATGTTTATACCAAAATCCAGTCCATCACAGCTTTCTACCAACACTTCAGGCTAACTTACTTGAACAATGGCAGGATCTTGTGGCAGAGTATGTTGAGCTTTTGGAGGTTCACAGACTGTGATGTCTTTGATGTCACTTCCTCGAAAAATAATGTATTCATAGATTTCTTCTCTCGGAGGAGCAGGTCTGTCTGTGGGCCGGTCTTCGGTACCGAAGGATCGCACTTCAGCATTAAAGAGACTTTTGTTAGTCCAGTATTACCAAGAAGCATTGTGGAAGGTAAGGTTTACACAATTAACACATACTCTTGTAATACTTGCCAACTGTAACCCAAAAAAATTACTTCCAGAACCCTGAATCTCCTTATCCCACACATCTGTTCTCCTCAAACACCAACTTTTTCAGCAGCCTGTATAAACAGTTTTGTTTACATCAAGCTGTGAAGGTAAAGACCGTAGACCAGCTGGAGTGAAGACTCCTACTCCGAAACCAAGTACTTCCCACAGTGCTACACTGCCATGTTCCTTCCCCCCCCCAGCACCTGTCCCACACAGGCATTCAGCCCGAGACAACTGCCGCTGCAACAGACCACAGGACAGGCTCCTGAAGCCACAGGGGACAAGTTTTAGCCTTCAGGGCTCAAATTTGCACCTTTGGTTTCATGTATCTATTATACAGACAGAGGTAAAGTTTTATCCATGACAAGAACTTCCTGTTAAAATTCTCTATTCCATGCCACTGGTTTTATGACTAAAATCCACGACTACAAAGCAAATTTTAGTGAAATCTAAATGGGTGCCTACCGAGGCTTTCCTGAGTCCCAGCTATGGGAACACCTGAGCAGGTACTAACCGGTGATGTTACACACTGCAGTGGGAAAAAGGCTGCAATGGGCCGTGTGGCAGCTACCAGGTAGAAGTATAAATTAATTACAGCCAATAAGAGGAATAGGTCAGCCTCACACTTCCTGGCCTGTTAACACAGCAGAAGAGGTAGCATAGTTACATGAGACACTGACGTAAAAAAGCTTGATATTTTGGCCACAAGATACAGAATTTCATCAAGTTTACTAGCCTAGTTATTTTCTGTCTTCATGTGGCTTTGCCAGGTCAGACAAGCACCAGCACACACTGGTTTGATGTATGCTTTCTGCCAACAGAATTCTGTATTGGAATTACATCAATTGCTTCTGATAGGTTACCACAGGTAACTATCAACTAAGTTATTACAGCACACTAAGGTACTCAACCTCTCTGCCAGGACATTCCTGCAGTACCTTTACAAATTACATCCTTAGACCTTTCACAAGCTCCTGCCATGTCACAGTCTGTGGTGATGTGCCAGCCAGCTGCCACTCCCACTGCTCAGCTGAAAAGATATAAACACAGACAGCCCCGTCACGTGGAGGACAGGGGCACCACAGCTTCCCCAGAAAGACGGCAGCACAAAAGCAGACCCACTCAACCCCAGTGTTGAGCCCTCCCAGCACACTATACTGTTAACTAACTTACTAGGAGTGTTGACAGTGGTGGACAGGGAGGCTCACGAGTCCCTTTCTCTGGGATGAAAAGCTGTGTGCAGGTGGGTACCCCCACCAAGCAGTCTTTGCCTCTGTCTGACGCACGTATCAGCTCGCAAGGCGCAGCAGGACTTTGCCCCCATCACACTGATGCTGTTTACCACCTCAGCTTACACCCAACTGGAAGGGAATCTTAACTGGTGCTGTCAGTCACTTCCTCTGAATGACCATCTTCCATTAGTTCCTAGGGTATATAACTCTCCAAGTTATTTTAGCTCTCCAGCTGCTGTTTGATCATATTACGGCTGTAACCCAGTCAACTAGGAGCAGATTATAAACTGAAAGCAATGCTCGTGGCCTTTCAGACATGAAGAGTACCACTGATCTCCCTGCTCAAGATTAGATTATTACAGCACACGGAAAGATGTACTAAAGCTACCCAGGGACTACTCCGGAATCCACAACGAGCTTGGAAAGCACCACATCTTCTCCAAGCACAGGGATCAGCCTGTCAGCATCCACATGGAGAAACTGTGAAGTCTGAAGTTGTCCAGTCAGCCTCGCAGTTGGCTGGTCCCAAGGTTTCAACTAAAAAGGTGGAAAACCGTGTCCTCGTTGTAGACAAGAGAGCAGCGAGGGCATCTGAGGGAACTCTAGGAGCTGAGCATGCCTGCCCCTGCATTTCAAGTGTTTAAGTTTCTGGCACGTCACAGGGTCCAGCTTTAAGTTCCCGCAGAGGTCCGAAGGGCCGCCCCCCACGAAGAGTTACAGCGACTTTGGTTTACAGAGGAACAGCAGTCCAACCCCACGCCGCGCTGCAGCTACTGCTCTACAGCACAGCTTGTCCTGTGTAGGGCTCTGCTGAGCTAGATCCGAGGGGTCAGGAAGCGCAACCAGAGCGACTGGATGTCTAGAAAGCAGAGCTTACATGGGTAATTCTTGCTCACAGACTCTAGCTTCTTCAGGCTTCTGCAGAAGGGGGAGTACGTTTCTAGTGTTCGCTGCCAAAGTCAGCTCTGCGTCGAGTAACAGGCTGAAGCCGATTCCTTCCTGAGGTCTCGTTCAAACTCGATTTTTCTTTATATCACTTGGCTGATAAAAGTCAAGTGAACAGCACTTACATTACACACTACAGTTGTCTGAACCTTAAACAGTGGCATAGAGGGCTTAATAATAATTTACTATCTAGACAACTTCAACTGCATGTCAGTAATTCATGGCTCTTCTAGCCCTCCAGAGATCAAGTGTTTTAAACCACTGTCCCCCGTAAGCACAGTGTTGATGCTGCTGTCACCGACTTCATCGTTGCTATGTTCATAATTCAGACAACAATTTTGATATAAAGTCTCTAAATTTAAAAAACCCCTCTGAGCTAAAATGAGAAACAAATGTAAAGTTTATAGAGCAGCACTTTTAGTGGGGAAAAAAGTATTTTCCATCTATTGCAACAGCTACTTCTTCAGCGTTTCAGTTCAAAACTGAACACTAGGAGACCAATAAATACAAGAACTGCCAGAAACCTTATGCAGAGCACATACTTTCTCACACCATAAAGCACTTCAATCACATCTTTGAAACACAGCACTTAAGCTCTGAAGTAGCAAGTGCTATGTGAAAGGCAGAACTACACAAGAAACCATTTCTACTTGCTGCTGAGCGAAGGCGAAGACCTTCCTACACATACAGTAAAGGAATCACATCCTTCCTGCAACCTCTCAATTACTTTGAGTGAAACACTAACATAAACAGCTCTATTTCTACACTTAAAGACACAGCTACACCCCTAGGAAAACAGTGAATTTGTGAGAACTCACATTTTTAACCTCAGAACACACACTAATAGGTGTCAAATACTCATGTCCAGCATCGCACACACATCACTATACTGGTTCAACACTGGGGCACAGGCTGCCTTAAGGACAGTTAAGAATCAGGCAAGTCAGTGTCTCCTGCCAGCAGACAGTCTTTCCAAACAAAAGATGTTTGGTTTGTGGATAATCCTGATGGGTTGCTGAAGGCAATGATGAAGGTGCCTTCCCAGAAGGGGGCAGGACTAAACTTAAGGGGAAGAAAAAGCTGATACACATTAGCTGGAGTAGCCAAGCTGGACATTAAGTACAGAATACCATCTTGTTCAAGAGACTAAACGAGACAGGACAGGTTTTTCTGAGAGTAAATATGGGAGTTCCCAGCACAGGTAACAACTGAATCCAAACGGCACCATTTAAGTCGCAGATAAAGATCACTTATTTCTACAGGAAAACAAGGTGCAAAGCCTGATCAGGCTGCAAGGTGGGAAGAGCCAGATCCACGTGCAGATAACCCCCAGCCATCTGCACGTCAGCGCTCACCCCCTTCACCTGAGCAGCGTCCAGTTATTGATCGCGAAGGGAACAAAGACACAGCGACTGTTCTCCCCAGCACCGGCCCGGGGACCTGCTGAAGCCAAGCCCCGACACACTGCCGGGCATCCACGTACAGAGGGGAGAGGGGAACCAAACCGCGGACGGCGGCGCAGACCATCACTCTCCTGGCTCCGGCAAGAGTTCAGAGAAGCCAGCATCGCTGCCAGCTCCTCCTCCTCTCCAGGGGCCTGGGAACTTCCCCGGGAAACCAAGGGCTCCTCAGCATC